GCCACTGACTTCTATTTTGGGCCACATCTCAGTGTATCTAACCAACGACAATCCTCATCATTTCGGCCCCAACCTGGAAGGCGGGCTGCATTTACCGAAACATGCTGAAGCAAGCTTCTGCATAACTCTACGTCAAGTCATTCTCTGACCGAGGCGAAAAGACTTCCAGCCTTCTACACCACGTACAGAGAGAGCACGGAAAGGTAGACGATGGACAGGCATACGCGAAACGTGATCAAACTATCGGAGGTAATTACCATTTTTATAGAACACGAAGAAGAACCCTGTCATCGCTCACGATGTTCCCGTCAGACACAAGCCATGCGTCCGATACATGGGTGCTCAAATACAGGAAGTCGATTAGCATCATCTGCTCGGAAAGGTCAGGTCCCGTAGAACACTACCAACCGCGGCAATGTACGCAATTCCCTCAAGAGTAAGACGGGTATCACGGTGGTGCAGATTAGCAAAAGCTGGTCTATCTTTCGTTAATCGTGATGTGATCTCCTCCTTAACAGAACATGTTGCTGCAATCAAGCTCCCGAAGTACTTAAAGCTCTAAACTGCTTCAATCTGATCACCAGAAATGGCGAGTGCAGGCATAGTGTCCTCCTATCAAAAATTCATACGAATACATGTGCAGTCTGTGTTCAGGAATCCTGGTTGTATAATGACGTAGATGACTCTCTAGTGTCAATAGACGGTTTAACGGCAGGATCGTGAAACCGGAGGTGTTGCCACATACGTCAACGTTTCCTGGTGTGGCAAGTCCCATGTTGTTTATCAGTGCTGCTCAAAAGGTATTGAGTGCCTAACTATACAGTGTCACCCTAGATTTTCCCATTTTACTCACACAATTTTGACTAACATGTATATAGCTCCGTCCTGTACACAGTCGGATTTTATGTCACTTTTCGACTCGTTCATACCTTTTATTGCCCCACTTTTAGATGTTAACCTGCACATAATCGTTGGTGANTTCAACCATACTGGCACTTATCCACTTTTATCATTGGGTATGACAGATCTCTGTCACTCTCCCACAAGAGGTAACTCTATATTGGACAGAGTAATTACCAACCACCCAACCCTTTTTCTTTAGCACTAAAAGCTCCTATTCCTTCCAGTGACCATTGCTTACTCTTAGTTAGACCTAAAGTTTATCCACACAGTGCACATACATCTTTCTCCCGATCTGAGCACATCGAATTTCGTTTTCTCACCTACACGTGTTTTTCTCCTGAATGAATCTCTCAGACAGACCTCCCTATGGTTTTCATCATCTTCTTTGCTCACATGTGTCCCCAGATTCACCCAAACCATCAATGCCATTTTTAATTACTGCTGTCTTGTTCAAAGTCTCGATGTGTCTAACGGAAGGATAAACTCTCCCCTACTTCAGTCGCTGCGACGAAAAAATAAACGTGCGTACAAGTCTCCCAATGCTTCAGTTGTTAGGCATTTGTCCAGGCTTAGCAAAGTTGAAGTAAATAGATTGCAAGCATTATTCTCTGATCGAATTCTGAGGACTGGAAACAGCAAACACCTGTGGCTAGGTATACGACTCCTCTGTGGAAGGAAGAACGTACGGTCGAAGCTGGATGTGGATGCTGATGATCTCAATGCCCCATTCCTGCGGTATTCATCGGACATTCCTCCTGCCTACTCGTCACAAGATGTTTGCAATGTGGAACCACCCTGAAATTGTGATGTAAAGACTTTTAAGTAGTTACAAATCGTCTTCTGCTGCAGGCCCGGATGACTTACATCCATCCCTCTTCAAATTTGGTGATGCTTCCCTAGCTGGGGTAATTACCTCCATTGTAAATGAATCTCTTCACACTTCTACTATCCCCGATAGTTGCAGGCCGGTCACAATCATACCAATCCTCAAAGCATCCAAATCTTCTATCTCCTCCAAACGTTTTCGTCCCATAGCGTTAAGATTTTCAGCTCTTAAATTGACTGAAATGGTCTTCGTCAAACGCCTTCAGCAGTCTATAACACATTCCCAGTGATCCGTTACAGTTTGCTTACAAGCCTAATAGATCCACCCTGAACGCAGTCTCCACCCTCATT